AGGGGAGGAGGTGGAGGGCGGTGGAGGGTGCGGTGGCGGCTGCTGATGCGGCGACTGCGGCTGATTGAGGGGGGGGGGGTGCAGCTGCTGCTGTTGGTGGGGAAGGAGGAGAGGAAGGGAGGGAGGATGGGGGGAGGAGGAGAGGAAGGGAAGGAGGAAGGGGGGAGGAGGAGAGGAAGGGAGGGAGGAACCGGGGGGGGAGGAGGAGAGGAAGGGAGGGAGGAAGTGGGGGGGGAGGAGGAAAAAGGCGGGTGCACGGAGCGCAGCTCTTAAGTCGCCGTAGGCGGGCGCCGACGCGAAAGGCGACGGCCAGCGCGGATAGCGACGATCGGCAGCTGTGGGCAGTTGCGTGCAGTGCACGCCGGCACAGAGGTCAGCCCGGCCGAATCCCGCTTGTTAGGCGGGGGTGCCGGGACTGCAGAAAGGGGGAGGAGGCAACGGAGTGCGGAGGAGACGGAGTGTCGAAATATGGCGGGAGGGCCGCGTCAAGATGGTGCAGGAGCGCCGCGTCAAATCGCGGCGGAACGTCACGCCGAAATGCGACCGAGTGCTCGCGTCGAAATGCGGCCGAGCGCCGCATCGAGATGCGGCCGAGCGCCGCGTCGAGATGCGGACGAGCGCCGCGTCGAGATGCGGCCGAGCGCCGCGTTGCAATGCGGCAGGAGCGCCGCGTTGAAATGCGGCAAGAGCGCCGCGCGAAAATGTAACGATTAAAGGCGCGAGGAGAGGTGCTTAAGGTCGCGGGGAGGGGCGCTTATGGGCGCGGGGAGGGGCGCTTATGGGTGCGGGGAGGGGCGCTTATGGGCGCGGGGAGGGGCGCTTATGGGCGCGGGAAGGGGCGCTTAAAGCCGCGGAAAGGTTGCTTAAGGGCGCGGGGAGGGGCGCGTTGGGCGCGAGGTGGCTAGGGATCGAACCATGGAGAGGCGTGAGCCATAAGCTCTGAAACCATATGAGAAACTCAAGTGATGATTGTATTAGGAAAAGAGTGGGTATACATAGGTGAGGAGTAGGAGGGAGGGGGGGGTTTTGGTTGGGAGGTGACCACGATTATTGGTGACCCCAATAAGTTGAGTTGGCCAACTTATTGGGGGTCCAATGATCCTAGCCAAGATTATTGGGGGGTCCAATAATCTTGGTTGGGATTATTGGGGGTTCCAATAATTGGGAGCCCAACCAATTTGGGAACCCAACAAGGTTGGAAACCCAACCCCCAACTTGGGTGTATACACCCTAGTGGGGTGCTTTTAAGTACCAAAGACAAAGAAACGATGTAGGCTAATAGAATGAAGGGAGAATATTCTAACAGGCTCTAGAGGGAGGGGAGGGGGGAGACTGGAGGTACCTGCACGAGTGGTCACGTGGCATGAGGAGGGGCGTGGTGTGCTGAGGATGTACTGACGATAGCGAGGGCAAAGTGGGAGGCAATGAAGGAGGCGACGAGTGGGGCCGTGGAGGAGGTCACAGTAGGTGGCAGAGTGATGCCAGCCTGTTGGAGTTCACGGATGGAGAGCAGGTTATGACGAAGGGAGGGAATGTGGAGACCAGTGACCACTCCGGAGGGGAAGGGGGGGCAGGGGAGGGTGGAGAGATGAGTGCAAGGGATGGAGAAGCTAGAATCAGCGCCATGAACGTTGGTGGGGAAAGGGAGGGAGGTGAGGGTGCCAGCGTCTTTGAGGGCAGTTTCAGTGGCACTACTATTGAGAACAAAGTCTATCGTGAGCGAGGAGGGAGCTGAAGACATGGGGTACTGGAAATCACTGGCATTAAAAACAGAGGGATACATGGAAGTGGAAGCAGGGGAAGAACGCATGAGCTCGCGTAGAAAGCTGGAGTGGGAGGTGGGAGCACTAGGGGAAGGAGAGCCCCAGAGGGGAAAGCCAGGAGGACCTGTTGTGGCTATGGCAGCCATGGCGGCGATGCCAAAGCCAAGCTGCTGCTGCTGCCATGCAGATGCTGCGGCTGCGGCTCCTGCATCTGCGGCTGCAGCCTGACCACCAGAGCTCCACTACTGCTGCTGCTGTTGGTGCAGTTGCAGCTGCTGGAAGCGGCGAAATTGCTGCAGCTCCTGGGGAGTTATGGGGTCAGCGATAGAGGAGGAGGAGGAGGAGAGCTGAAGATGAGAGGGGAGGAAAGACGGAAGAGTTTTGACATCCTGGAGAGAGGGGCGGGGATCCATGGCAGACCAGCGTGGGGGTGTGCCAGTGTTGCCGCGCTCGAACAAGGCGTCATCATACGCTTTGAAGCAGGTCGTTGGGGGATGGTTGGTTTGGGTGCAGCGCTCACCCACCCTAGGACCAAAACGGCGAAGATAGCAACATGGGGGAAGAGTGCCAAGGCGGCCACCACGGCTACCAGATGAGCCACCACTGCCACCACCACCACCACTGCTGCCACCCTCGACCCCACCACCACCGCAGCTGGCTCCGTTGCCCCCACAACCGCCACCTCCACCCCCTCTCTGAGGGTTGGTGCGGCCGCCACGTGGGCGCCCTCCACGACGCGGCTGTGCAACTGCAAGCTGGGGGTTTGGGGACTCGGTGGAGTTCAAGCCGGAGGGGCGGGTTGAGAGAAGGCGGGGCGGGAGGCAAGGTCCAGGAGACGGCTGGTGTAGTCAACGGCGCCAGCACTATTTTCGATCGTGATGCTGAAGTATTCCTTGAAGATGTTGTGTGATGTCATCATATGCTATCACATTCTGTCTGCCTCCCATCCCATGTTTTTTCAACTTGCATGTGTGGTTTGAATGTGCAAGCATTTGTGTGTGGTGTGTTCTGGAGTTTGGGAATGTGTTTTGTGTTATTCTGTCTGAGCAGGTATTTGTGATGATAGATCTTGAGAAGATCTTTCCGACGCAACAAGAATCGCTTCAATCGGAGCAAGAACGCGAAAGCTATGAAGATTCAAAGTTCATGAGCTTGCGTTACAATTGCGGCGGTTACTAAGTGAAGTTGTGGGGTGACTTTATATGGAGTTGGGACCTTTGGGGTTGGGGAAACTTGTCACTCTACTGTAACAGCTGCAAATTGGTTGGGAACAACCAAGCTAGGTTGGCAAGGGTGGCCAACTTGGATGGATTGGTTGGGAAGGGACAAAGGTCAAAGTTGAGGTTCCTATAGGGAGGGAATCTTTGTGCTTATGGGGTTTCCTTGGTTGGGGACTCTCTTGGGACCTTCCCTCTCATCCCTCTCTTCCTATCCCAACCTTTCTCTTGCTCCTTCTAATTCCTTGTGAGATTCTTGAACTTTGATTGAACTCTTGAGATTGAGTTAAGTTCTCCTCCTACAGCTTACCCCCTAGTGCGTCGAAAGCCATAGCGTCGCGAATACTTCATCAATCAACGTGATTCAAATTGGGAACGGTAGCTGAGATTAAGAGCGACAACATATCCAAGTTTCGCGACATTCCAACGGCTAGGTTTTTGTCGACGTCGTTTCTTGTGAAGACGACTTTTCTGTCCAGAATTTCGGATTTATATTTTGAGTAATTCTAGCTCCTAAGTTCACCTAGACTCTGTCCTTAATCCTAACAAGTGGTATCAGAGCAATATTAAGGACATTGAGAGGAGTCTACAGAAGTTTGAAGACCCTTCTAGACCCACCATGGCCTGTGGGTGTGCCTAAGTGGTGTTCTAAAGGTTGGATGTGTCTTCCGCTAAGGGGAAACTCTGCCGAAATTTCGTGGACGCCGACACTTGTGAAAATATCGAGGGAGCTGAGTGTGGACAGCAAAGGGGAGCTGAAATTCGTCATTTCTCAAGGAGAAGATGAATGAGAGAGGAGGAGATGCTAATGGAAGAGGAGCTGTACCTGAGAAGACAAGTGAGCCGCCGCCATCAAAAGTTGAAGCTTTGGATGGCTCCAACTATGAGGAATGGAGCGGACGGATGAGGAGTGCCTTCAAACGCTACAAGCTACTGAAGATTGCTGTTGGGGAAGAGAAGATGCCGGAAGAAGGCGAAGCACGTGAACGGTGGATTGAGAAAAGCACGGTGCTTTTCGACCTCATCCTTCAATCGGTCAACAAGGAGATGTTCGAGCACATCAAGGATCTTGTGGAAGCGGATGATTCGGGTCCAAGGGCGTGGAAACTACTACGCGATGTGATTCAGCCCAACACTCTCCTGATGGTGATCGTGCTCGAGAAGGAACTTGCTGCCATCTCCATGCGACCAGGGGACGATGTGAAGCCGGTCCTTGACAAGATCAAGGACACCTATGCAAGGATGGCAGCAGCGGGCAGCAGTGTATCTCAGCTGCAGCAGTGCACCAAGATCATCTCGGTGTTGGACAACTCTTGGGACAACCTCATCCCCACCCTCAACTCTCAACAAGATCAATGGACACCTGAGTGGCTAAGGCAGCAGATTCTGCAGGAGGACTTCCGCAGACGCCATGTGGGAGGCGGTGCTGCCACTAAGACTGCTGAGGGGTATGGAGCTGCAGGGCGCGGCAGAGGAAGAGGGGGTTGGAGAGGCCGAGGCCGTGGGAGGAGCTTTGGCAGAGGTAGAGGCCGAGGTGACTATAATGAGGGGCATGGGAGCTCTAGTGGCAGGGGGAGTACCAGAATGGAGGGCACCTGCTGGTACTGCAAGAAGATAGGGCATCCTTGGTTCAAGTGCTTCAGCAGGCCGGAGGGATGGGCACCTCCAGGCATGAAGCCACCCAGTGGTGAACGCGCACAAGGTGGCGCTGTGCAAGGCTCAGGTGCACAAGGTGAAGGTGCACAAGGTAATGCCTATCCTGGTTTGTTTCTTATGGTTGAGGATGTGCATGGGCATGAGGGTGATGTGGGATCTGTGGGAAAGGTTGTGATGCACCCTCTCACGCACTGGGTGATTGATTCGGGTTGCACCAGTCACATGACCCCACGGGCAGATTTGCTTGATGAGGTAAAACCCCCTGGGAAGATCAAGTATGTGGCAGCAGCGTCAGGTGCTTTGCTCCCTGTCATTGGTGTTGGAAATGCCAAGGTTAAGGGAGCTAATGGGGAGCTTGTGGGGCTTGGGAATGTTCTGCTGGTTAAAGGCTTGTCTGCTAACCTTCTCTCTGTGCGACGACTGCAGAAGAGCAAGGCCGAAGTGACCTTTGGACCAACCAGCTGCCGTGCTAAGCTTGGGAAGAAGGTGCTATGGAGTCTGGAAGAGGAGACCAGTTGCATCAAGGACCTGTGGCAGCTGCCCATCATCCCATGGAATGGGAAGACTCCAACAGCAGCAACGGCAGCAGCGGCAAAGGCAACAGCAGGAGGAGATGCAACTGCACCAACTGATGGGGTCCTGGAAGCAGTCAAGAAAGTGCAGCAGCAGCAGAGACATGGTGAGGTGCTTGCTGGTGTGGATGCGAGTGCGGCATGGGCTAAGGCTTCATCAAAGAGTGGAGAGGCCGATTGGGAGACATGGCATGAGAGGCTGTGTCATGTGAACTTCCCTATGCTACAGAAGTTGGTAAAGGATGGGAGCCTGAAAGGCTTGGAGGTGAAAGGGGGAGTGAAGGAGATTGGGAGCTGCCCTACATGCTTGGAGACCAAGTTCTCCAAGTTCCCCTTCAACAGCACTACAGGACCCTGCAGGAGGGGGCACGCACTCTCCTTGGGCGTGCAGGGCTGCCTGATCCGTTTTGGGTGTCTGCACTGAGGCAGGTCGCCCTTGTGAAGAACAGGGTGCTGGCTACAGTTGGAGATAAGGAGTGGATCCCATATGTCAAGTGGTATGGGAGTGCTCCAGCTGTGAACATGCTGAGGGCATTTGGGTGCATGGTGGTGTTTCATGTGCCTAAGGAGAAAAGGGGGAAGTTGGAGGCTTCTGGAAGATGGGGTGTGCACTTGGGGATTGCAAAGGATCACAAGGGGTGGCTGCTATGGGACCTGACCACCCAGAAGTTGACAGTGTCAAGGGATGTGAAGTTTCTTGAGTCCCTGTACTACAAGGAATGGAAGCAGCAGCAACAGAAGCTTCCATCTACACCGCTCATTGTGGAGGCAGATGAGGTGCAGCAGCCTTCAAGACAGGTGGAGGTTGCAGTGTCAGAGGAGGAGATGTCTGGGGTGACTGAGGAAGGGGGAGCAGCTGAAGTAGAGCAGCAGCAGCAGCAGCAGCATGAGTCTCCACCTCGAGTTCCACACCCGCCTGAGCGTCCTAGGAGGGATGTGCGCCCTCCAGTGAGGCTGACCTATGGGGGAAGAGGCAAGCCAAATGTGGTGCAGGCTGGGAGTGTGGTTGAGCAGATTGAGGAAGATGAGATCGCTCACTGCTACTGGGCACCAATCCCTGAGCCCAAGACTCGAGAGGAGGCTTTGAATGGACCAAATGGGGAGAAGTGGAAGGCGAGTGAGGATGAGGAGTTCGGGTCCCTGATTGAAAACGAGACATGGGACCTGTGTGACTTGCCTCCTGGAAAGAAGGCAATCACTTCCAAGATGATCTACAGGCACAAGTATGGACCTGAAGGGGAGCTGACCCGCTACAAGTCTAGGCTTGTGGCACGGGGGTTTCAGCAGACAAAGGGGAAGGACTATGATGAGGTGTTTGCTCCTGTGGGGAAAGGAACAACACTGAGGGTGCTGTTAGCGATAGCTGCACTCCTGGGATGGAAGATACGGCAGATGGACATTGTGACAATGAGTCCGCTGTGAAGCTCGCCAAGAATGCTTGTCTGCATGGGCTGACAAAACACATAAGGCCTAAGTGGCATTGGGTGAGGAGACTCCTTGATAAGGAGGTGCGGCTGGAGATAGTGAAGACCCATCAGCAGGCAGCAGATATTTTCACCAAGCGTCTGGCGGAGGCGGATCATTGGAAGGGCATGAAGCTTGCTGGGATGAGTGTGCATTGAGTATGCATGCTTGAGATGTGGTATGGTGGATGATGGTTGGCAGCCAGAGGGGGAGATTGTTGTGTGATGTCATCATATGCTATCACATTCTGTCTGCCTCCCATCCCATGTTTTTTCAACTTGCATGTGTGGTTTGAATGTGCAAGCATTTGTGTGTGGTGTGTTCTGGAGTTTGGGAATGTGTTTTGTGTTATTCTGTCTGAGCAGGTATTTGTGATGATAGATCTTGAGAAGATCTTTCCGACGCAACAAGAATCGCTTCAATCGGAGCAAGAACGCGAAAGCTATGAAGATTCAAAGTTCATGAGCTTGCGTTACAATTGCGGCGGTTACTAAGTGAAGTTGTGGGGTGACTTTATATGGAGTTGGGACCTTTGGGGTTGGGGAAACTTGTCACTCTACTGTAACAGCTGCAAATTGGTTGGGAACAACCAAGCTAGGTTGGCAAGGGTGGCCAACTTGGATGGATTGGTTGGGAAGGGACAAAGGTCAAAGTTGAGGTTCCTATAGGGAGGGAATCTTTGTGCTTATGGGGTTTCCTTGGTTGGGGACTCTCTTGGGACCTTCCCTCTCATCCCTCTCTTCCTATCCCAACCTTTCTCTTGCTCCTTCTAATTCCTTGTGAGATTCTTGAACTTTGATTGAACTCTTGAGATTGAGTTAAGTTCTCCTCCTACAGCTTACCCCTAGTGCGTCGAAAGCCATAGCGTCGCGAATACTTCATCAATCAACGTGATTCAAATTGGGAACGGTAGCTGAGATTAAGAGCTACAACATATCCAAGTTTCGCGACATTCCAACGGCTAGGTTTTTGTCGACGTCGTTTCTTGTGAAGACGACTTTTCTGTCCAGAATTTCGGATTTATATTTTGAGTAATTCTAGCTCCTAAGTTCACCTAGACTCTGTCCTTAATCCTAACAGAAGAGCGGTCCGACAGCGTCGAAGTCGGTGCGTTCGAACATCGCCTCAAGCTCTAGCCAGATCTGGCGGGAGCCGATGCGACGTGCCTGGAAGTTGCGCATGAGCGCAGGCGGGATGGCAAGGAGAAGGGCACCAGTAGCACGGCTGTCCGCCTCGAGCCAAGCGCGATGACGCTCGGCAAATCGCGCAGAGTCAGCAGCATAAGCGGCGGCAGTAGCGGCATGCTGGTTGCGGAGGGTGACCGACTGCTCGTGTTCCTCCAAAGCGATCAGGTAATCAGTATGGAGCACGAGGAACTGCTCAACCTCAGCGGTGGCAGTGCGAGTGCTGGTGCCAACGGGTACCACGGGGGGCAGAGGTTCCTCGCCGGGATGGGGAATGAGAGGGGGGGGATCGCCAGGGTGAGGCGGCGGGTCCCCAAGGTCACCCTCTGGGAGACCAAGCATGATGTCCAGGAGGCGGAACGGCAGGACATATGCACTGCCGAGGACGCGGTGGAGGCTGCCGATGAAGGAATACCAGTTGGTTGCTGAGTTGTCGGCAGCGTGCACCAAATGATCGAGGGTCGAGACGTCGACAAGAGGGGGAAAGGATGCCATTGGTGACACGGAGTAGGAGGAAGGCGACGGCGGGTGGACCCGCGGTGGCCGGGAGGGAGCGGCGGCGGGTGGACCCGCGGCGGCTCAAAGAGGAGGGGAGGATGGGGATGGCTGTAGCTACTGCTGCTGCTCCCACTGCTGCTGCTGCCGCTGCCGCTGCTGCTGCTGCCGCTGCCGCTGCTGCTGCCGCTGCTGCTGCTGCTGCTGCTGCTGCTGCTGCTGCTGCTGCTGCTCCTTCTTCTGCTGCTGGTGCTGCTGCTGCTGCTCCTTCTTCTGCTGCTGCTGCTTCTGCTGCTGCTGCTGCTGCTGCTGCTGCTTCTGCTGCTGCGTCTGTTGCTCCTTCTGGTGCTGCTGCTGCTAGTTGATGGCAGTTAGCTGATGGGGAGAGATGGCAGCTAGCTGATGAAAGTAGGACTTGGTGGAAATTTCAGTAGCACTTCGTGATCACATCCAGGAAAGTGCGCGAACTTCGGAAAGCGATATCCGACAATCCAAGCGGTGAAACAGTCTGAAATTTTACGACATTGTAGCGGCTAGGAGTCTAGCAGCGGCGATGGAGGGGACGACAAAGAGATGCACGTCGGAAGGGGATGGGGCGGAAGCGTGGGGAAGGATCAGGACTAAAAGTTGGCGTGAGACATTATTGCTCTATACCATGTTAGAAACAGAAATGTTGAGTTTATTGATCAAGCAAAGGCATTACATAGAAAGAGAGAGATGAGCTAGGAAGAGAAGGTTGGAAGGGAAGGGGGGGTTAGGACCAATCTTAAAGGAGGGAGGATCCTTCCAAATGTGGTTGACCACTAGTGGGAGGTGGTCCAAGTATGGTGGACCCCAAGTGGCTTAGGCATCCCACTTGTGGTGCCCCCACAATTGTGGTCCTTGTGTTTGGGGGCTCCAACCACAATTGGGTTGGATTGACACCCCAACACAGGTGTACACCCAACTAGAGATGTAAACGCAGTATACACAACTAGCATAGCATGGTATATTGTAACATACGCTAGATAGAGCACGCCAGTACATCCCGAACCTGGTCGGTGACATAATCATAATAACTGGATAAACCAAAGGATAGAGGAAAATGAGGAATAGAAAACCAAATGAGATGAGAGAAAAACAAGCATGAGATAGAAAGGAAATATGGAAAAGGGAATTGGTGTAACGGGGTCGTACTCTTACAGTGTCGGGCCGGTAGGGATGCGGATAAAGATTGTAGAGAAATGCCGCATGGAAGAGGGCATATCCCCAGAGTGACCGTGGTGCGTTGGCATGACTGAGGAGGCAGCGAGCGATCTGAACCAAGGTGTGGTTGCGGCTCTCTGCAATGCCGTTCTGCTGTGGGCTTTTGGTGAGCGTGAAGGTTTGCCGAATCCATTGGGCCGCACACAAGTTATCGAGTTTGCCATTGCAAAATTCTCCCCCGCCATCAGAATGGAGGCACTTCAAAGGAGCCGAACGTGACTTGAGCCTGGCGCACCCATGCCATGATGACGTCAGGTGCCTCCGCCTTGGTATGCAGGAGGTGCACAGAAACATACCGCAAGTGGTCATCAACTAGTGTAAGAAAGTGCCGATGACCGCCTCGGGATGTGACTGGAGCTGGGCCCCAGACATCCATGTGCACTAGGTCCAGCAGAGCAGCTGCGACGGATGGGGAGGAAGGGTGCGGCTGCTGCCTGACCTTGCTCTTAGAGCAGTCCAGGCAGGTGGGTGCAGGTGAGTCTGTTGGTGGAGGAAGCGCCAACGGGAGGCCAAGAAGAAGTTTCTTGGAAGCGATGTTGGCAAGGGTACGGAGGTTGGGGTGACCCAAGCGATGGTGGTAGAGGATGGTTGGGTTGGCGAAGCTGCGACACGAACACGGAGTGGTGTTGGCAGCTTGCGCTTGGGAGAGGGCGGCGAGAGGTGCAGGTGAACGCAGCGTGTAGAGCTTGCTACTGTTGAGTGTGAAGCGTGCTAGGAGCTTGTTGGATTTAAGGTCGAGGAGGTCACAGTAATCCGAGTGTGCTGGGAAGATCGTGGAGATGCCTGTCCCTTGGAGCTCGTGTTGGGCCACAAGATTGTGGCGTAGTGTGGGAACACACATGCCGGTGACACTGGCCGAAGGGAACGCTGGGCACGGAACTGTGGAGGAGCCCTTGGCGTGTGTTGCGAAACTGGAGTCTGCTCCTAGTAGACAGATTGGTGTGTTGTATGAGGTGCTTTGTGAGCTGGGACACTGCGAAATTGTCTCATTGATCATGGCAGTGCCAGGGAACACATCAGTAGGGGGAGCTACAGGAGCCTGTACGGATTCCTGCGCTTCGACTTGATTGACCTTGCGAGGAGCACGATTGACCATCCAGCTCGGCGGCTTTGAGGCGGTCCCATTGACGGCATAACACTCGTCCTCCTTCTTCTTGAAGCAGGAGGCGAGGGCGTGGTTGGTGCCGCCACACACCTGGCTGGCACGAGAGCCGTGCTTGATGACGTAGGGACACGGGGGGAAGCTGTTGCGCTGGAATAGTGCCAAAGCCGCATAGGCCTGAGGCACGGGAGCGCGGATTGCATTGGCCTTGGCTTGAGCGATGTTGTCCTTTTCGGCAGAAAGGAGCGCGGATGAGACCTTGGCAAATGTGAGGTCCGTAGGAGCAAGGCCCAAGAGCATCTTGCATGTGACTTCGTATGCTGGAGTGAGGCCGACTAGGAGAGTGGTTGTAGGGGCTTGCTCGGGGAAGACTATCCCCAACTGCTTGAGTTCACCAAGAAAAGACTGCACCTTGGTGACATAGTCCGCCATGCCTGGCGAGTCTCGAGCCGCACTTGGAACATGCTGGGGATGAGAACTCCCACTGCAGTTTTGTTTAGGAAGCGGTCTTCGAGGTAGAGCCAAATGGCGTTGGCAGACAGGTAGTTGTGGTAGGTTTCGAGGAGTTCCGGAGGAGTTGTGCCCATGAAGTCACTAATGACTGCGCCATCGGCCTTCTCCCAATTCTTGTACTTGAGCAGTGCAGCAGTATAAACTGCTTCAGCGGTGGCATTAGCTGGATCGACGGACCTCTCGGGTTTAGGAGGCTCTTTGCCGTCACCGACATTGAGAAGGACGTCGGTGAGCTCGAGCCCCTTCACCTCGCGACTCAGGAGGTGCTTGTCGACACCATAGCGCCAAGCCTTGTAGTTGGAGCATGTGCCGTCCGGCTCGAGACGAAGGAGCAGGAGCGGGTTGGCGAGTGAATTGGTTGAGTAAGCCATTACTGTTTGATTTTCGCGAAGCGACGCTCTTAAGTCGGCGAAAATTCGTTAAAAACGCCGACTTGAAACTGAATCTGAGCCTATCTCTAATCCCAGACCCACACACCCCCCAACACACCCCCAGGCCCTGTCTCGCAGCTACACAGCTCCGCAACCAGCTCCGCAACCAGCTCCAAAACCAGCTCCGCTCTGCTTCCACCTGTGTACCTGCTCTTGCTGGACGGGAGATGTTCGTGGAGGCGATTCCGCGAGGGGAGTTCGCCTATTCTGGCGGGGTCCGAGGGGAAACTCGAAAACGAGTTTTAAGAGATGGTCGAAATTGAGATTCGACCAAGGAGAACCGAGGAGGAAGTCGATGATGGGAAGCGTAAATGCTTTCGAATTGAGAAATTCAACGAGGTCGAGCGCGAAGGCGGTCGACGCTGAGAGGCACGACTGCAGAGTGGAGCACGTCGAAAATTCTGACGACTCGAGACGAAAGTCGCGACGATAAAGTGCGCGTAGCGCGGGCACGTTAAGACTAGGACCTTGATCCGCGTGTGCGGATAGTTCGCTCTGATACTATGTAAGAAATAGAGCTGAAATGATTGATTAGGTAAGGAGCCCAAGGCTCTTTAAGTACATGGCAAGGTGAGAGAGAATGGATGAAGGGGGAATCGGGGGAATCCCCATTGTGATCTCCGGAATCTCCAATTGGGTAATTGGAGATTGGGGAGATCACAATTGGGTGAGGTTGGGATTTGTGAGAACACCCCAACCCACTAGAACATTCCTAACCTAAACTAGGATATAAAAGTACAAAGACAAAAGTGGGATTTGCAATCAATTTCTAACACACCCCCATAGACTGCAAACCCGGTCAAAGAGCACATAGCCCCATGGAACAGAGAAGGCGATGGTGGTCAGCCTTGCCGAGAGCCTTGGTAAAGAGATCGGCGAGGTTGCAATCTGAGGCGATGTACCGTACCGTCAGCTGGTCACTCTGAACAAGATCTCGGATGAAGAAATGACGAAGTTCGATGTGCTTGGTGCAAGAGTGGAACACAGGATCCTTGGTGAGTTGAATGGCGTTCTGGTTGTCAAAACACATGGTGGACGACTGTTGGGGGTAGCCTAACTCAGCGAGGAGAAAAGAGAGCCAGCATGCCTCTTGAGCAGCCATTGTGCCTGCATAGAGCTCGGCCTTGCAGGACGACAGGGAGACTGCAGAGGACCGCGTGGAGCGCCGGCTAATGACTCCGCTACGAAGGGTGAAGCAATACCCTTGGGAGGAGCGTCTGTCAGTTTGGTCATCGGCCCATGAGAAGTCTGTGTATCCCTTGAGCTTGACTGGAGAGGTACCACCAAGAGTGAGGATGTGAGACTTGGTGGCTTGTAGATAGCGGAGGACCCTCTTGGCTGCACACCAATGCGAGGCAGTGTAGCGTCCGGGGGAGACAAACCAAGTAAGGACACTAACCAGGTAAGCCAAGTCTGGTCGAGTGCACATCATGGCATACATGAGTGAACCGACTAGCTCAAGGTACGGGTCCTTGCAGGTGTCAGGAGAAGGAACCGGAGGGGCCAGGAGCTGATGCTGTAGTGGGAGTGGAGTGGAGATAGAGCTACTGGAGTCCATGTCGAACCGCTTGAGAAGGTTGTCGATGTAGGACTCCTGGGAGAGGGTGATCGTGCAAGCCTGGTGGTCACGAGTAATCTCCATCCCCATGTAGTTCTTGAGGTCACCAAGATCCTTCATGAGAAGGGTGGAGCTGAGAGCAGACTGGACAGCTGCCATGTCGGCTGGATCGCTGGCGGCTAGAATGAAGTCGTCGACGTAGACGAGGATGTAGAAGGGCTCGGAGGAGTGACGAATGAAGAGACTAGAATCTGAGGCGGAGGGATGGAAGTCAAGTGCGAGGAGGACTTCCTTCACCTTGTTGTGCCACTCACGAGGAGCCTGCTTGAGGCCATACACTGGGCGCTTCAGCTTCCACACTGTGTTGGCAGGATAAGTGCCATGAAACCCCGATGGGCGTTCCATGTGAACATCCTCTTGAGCTGGCCTTGGAGAAAGGCGGAGGAGGCGTCCATGGACTTGATGTCGAAGTTGCCGCGAGCGGCTATATCAAGAAGAGCGCGCACAGTCGGGAGCTTGGCCGTGGGCGAGAATGTTTTGAAGAAGTCGAGATACTCCTTCTGGGTGAAACCCTTTGGTCTCCAGGCGAGAGGAGGAGCCGATCCCTTTGAACTAGTGCGACTAGAGACTGGAGACAAAGGCGGCTGCGGTGGGACCGGAGGGACTGGGCGCTTCCAGTAGGAGACTGGTGAGCCGGGCTCGACGCGTGGGGAAGGCGGAGCAGGAGGAGGTGCCGCTGCGGAGGATACTAGGGAGGTCGGGTGAGACACGCCGGATGGAGAAGGCCCTGGAGAAGGGGTAGCGGCCGGAGGTGGGGCATCGAAGTCTGCCCAAACAAGCGTCGGGGGAGGTGGAGGAGGCTCGCCCGTGGTCACAGAATGGAAGGGGCGTGTCTCATCGAAGACGACATCTCGGCTGCGAATCACGTGTCAGGTGATGGGGTTGAGGAATCTGTAGTCTGGGGGATCGGAGTTGTGCCCCAGGTACATGCAGGTCTGGGTTTTGGGACCAAGCTTGCCACCTTGTTTTCTACGCGTGTGGGGGCTGAGCAACACATATGCGGTACACCCCCAGACGCGTAGAGAGCGGGCGGAGGGCGTGGCCCCAAGCCAGAGAGTGGTAGGTTTGGTGTCGGGCCGGTGGGGATGCGGATGAAGATTGTAGAGGAGAGCCGCATGGAAGAGGGCATATCCCTAGAGTGACCGTGGTGCATTGGCGTGACTGAAGAGGGAGCGAGCGATTTGAACCAAGGTGTGGTTGTGGCTCTCTGCAATGCCATTCTGCTGCGGGGTTTCGGGGAGCGTGAAGGTTTGCCGAATCCCTTGGGCCGCACAGAAGTTATCGAGTTTGCCATTGCGAAATTCTCCCCCTCCATCAGAATGGAGGCACTTCAGAGGAGTGCCGAACGTGACTTGAGCCTGGCGCACCCATGCCATGATGACGTCAGGTGCCTCCGCCTTGGTATGCAGGAGGTGGACCAAAACATACCTCGAGTGGTCATCGACTAGTGTAAGAAAGTATCGATGACCGCCTCGGGATGCGACTGGAGCTGGGCCCCAGACATCCATGTGCACGAGGGCCGCGCTTGATGACGTAGGGACACGGCGGGAAGCAGTTGCGCTGGAATGGTGCTGAAGCGGCATAGGCTTGAGGCACGGGAGCGCGGATTGCATTGGCCTTGGCTTGAGCGCTGTTGTCCTTTTTGGCAGA